AGAAAGAAATATTCCAATATTAAGAGACACATAAGACTTGAAACCAATCAATTTTACACTAGAATTAACTAATTTAACATGGGAGATGCTAGCTGCAAACCATGCATGTTTCTTTTGTGGAAATCATTTTGTAGTTTCTTTCCCCAGTCATGCACACAGACAGAGAACCATTCTTTGCAGGGGTTTTAGGCTGTGAGGGAAGGAGGAGCATGCATTAAGTGTCAAAGCCTCTGTTTTCTGTTTATCCATGTGAAGCAAGGGATGTCCCCGCAGCTCCTCCTTTGCCATTCCTTCTGCTGTCTCTTCACTTTAGTCCTTTTTTCTTCTGGTTTACCGTCTATATAAAAGCAAATCAGTCTAGCACTGCACTTTCTCAGTCTGCCTTTTGCATCCACCTTGGACAGACAGACAGCTCACCTGAGTAAAGATCCTACAGTCTGTCAATCTTTCGAGCCTTTATCTTTTCTGACTTTAAAGCACTGACCTCAGCAATAGCTTTTCTCCTCTGACCGCTGTTTCACCTTTCCTCACTGCCAGCTCCGCACTGTCTGAGACTGTGATTGCCTCCTTGCTGCATTAGCAGAAAAATGGATCAGTGATGCTTTAACCATACCTAAAAATGGAGAAGTTCCACAGAAATGGCTGACTGAATGAATGCGAAGGTGAACTTCAGAGCTGTAATTAAAGATGAAGTTAATGTTAGATTCTCTAAGCCAACCTTTCCCTGGTAACCATGCTCTGAGGGACCTTCAGCACAGAAATTTTTAAACTAATCTTCCTTAAAAATTGTTTTCTTGTTTTATAAAGCCTTCTGGCACTCAATTCCTCTGAGGACATCCCAAAATGATTCATATACTAGGATCACTGATTCCCAGTTTCTGTGGGGCTTCTGACTGTGGAAGTGTCAGATAAAGTTCTGTTCCCAACTGCCAGAGAAGGGAATAAGCTAGAAGGAATTCACTGACAGAAAAACATTTGTAGTTTTCATTAATGTCATATTTTGTCAATGATCACTTTCAAACAGGAGAGGAATATGTATCATAATGTGATCTTTAAAATAATATTTTAATGCTTATGGATTGTAACTATTAAGAATTGAATGGATTTAGCCAACCTGAAACTCAGACATATTCTAAAAACTATGATTAATAACACATTTCCTTAAATAAAGAGTTAAGTCAGATGGCAGGATTATCATCTTTTGTTCCCAATGCCAGAAACTAAATGAGCCATGTGTCCTTGTCAGGATCATAATTGTGATTTAAAAAGGTCAGTCTTCAAACAGGATTAGCGTAGATAAAACATGCACAGATGTAAGACTTAAAATGGTTTTCTCAAGAATCAGGTACTGAGATACTGTGAAGTAAAGGCAAGAAATCCTCAGCTCTTCCTCTCTGCTAGGCCATTAAGGCTATCAGAATTAAACCCATTTTAAAATCCCAGTAACATTCCCTGTTGAAAAACACATTTTAATTTTTCTTTCCAGTTATGGAGATCCAGGTCTATAATAATAAACGGAACATGCCAGAGACTAACTGGCACAGAACAACTTTCAGCTGTACTACTGAACTTCTACCCTCCAAAATGGTGACAGTACTCAGTCAACACATGAGGGAAAGACCATGGGCCTCCCCTGCAAATTCCCAAACCTTGTCTGGGAATCAGCAAGATGACAGCTAGTTGGTTGGAGCCAAAACCCTGCTAGGAGCCATCGTAACAGTTTCATAGCAAGAACAATCGAGTTTCAGCACCAGGGAATGCTCTTCAGCCCTGTTTTATTTGCCAGTACAGATACAACCAATATGCCAGAGTTGAGGATGAAGCCCCCCTACTGAAAAAGCAGTAGCTTTTATTAAGCTTCTCCAGTTTGACCAGGCCATTTACCATGTTTGCCTCCACAGACAACTCAGTACTGATGTGTGCCTCCAGTGTCAAACTTAGCCAGTCAGCCTAACACAGGCAAAGGAACCACAGTGCTGAGCTGCAGCCAGGGGAAGCATCTGTCCTCTAAAAACAGCCCCATTTGACAGCTATGACCCTCACCTACCATCACCTCTCTTGGGTTTCCCATCCTGCACGACCCAAGAGGATTAGCCCCACACAGAGAGATCCGATACTGATATTTTAAAGGACTGCTGTGAACTTCATGCATAGGCACTGTGGGAAGGAGTGCTAACAGAGACAGCACAAAATGAAAACAAGATTACTAAAGAGCAAGTGACACATTGGAAGCGTTGTTTATAGAATCAAGTAAAGACTACCCTAATAATCCCTTACGGGTCTGAATGCACGTATCAACAAGTAATACACACATTACCAAATGGTCAGGGGAATAAAAAACTTGAAGCAAGGCTAGGAAGCAATTCCCTTATTTCCACCCATGTGAAAAGGCAAGTCTAAGAGTAAAGCTAAAAAACCAATATCCAACACAAATTATTAGCCATGGAAAACATGAGTTGCATAGAAAAAAGCCAAAGAATTAATCTTTCAGAAGTGTTGGGATGGCATTTCAAAAGCAATGCCTTTCCTACAGTGAAGGAACTAAAAAATCCTTCCTTCTTGATGGGGTGAGATTAGCCAAAATGGCATATGTGTCCCTCTATGCCTTCCACATTTTCTAAAGAAATTTCCAAAACTAGATATGAATATACTAGGATGAAAGGGGAAATTTTGTAGAAGTTTTTTTACTCTTTTCAATTAGGTAGCATAACATGATCCTCAAGATACAGCAGATAACAACAGTCTCACTACACATATGCTATATGTATCCAGACAACAAAAATGACATCACTCATTTTTCCTACTTGCTAAATTCTCATTTAAAAAGCTAAAGGGTAGACACACCCAAGTGTGGGAAATAGAGTGACACTGCTAAAATGCCACTGCCAGGTGTAAGCAAATCCTCAAGATTGCAGAGCACATACTGACCCGTCATACCACAGTGAAAGCCACATCTATCACAGTACAGTGGAACTTCAAAAAAATTAAAGCTTGAGAATAAACAAAAGCAGGGGAAAAAGAGGTAACACCTTGTAACATCAGAACACTGACCAATAAACACAATAATTATTGAACTGGTACTCCACATGATCTCAACAGAAGGGCCAAACAACTTAATTTTCATGAAAAGATGGATAACACTACCTCCTGCGGTTCAAGTTGCTTAAAGTACAAAATGAAATTGTTAAAGATTACTACCAGCTCTATACCTACAGGATTGCATGCTGCCTTTTCGGGGGGAGCAGAAAATAATTTCACCTGAGGTATGACTTAAATTTTCAACTTCTGCTTAAAAAGAAGCCTTTGATTCAGGGGATCTGTCAAGTTTAGCAAAAGGAGAGGAATGAAGTTTAAATCCAACTTAATTCCATAAAAAAAATAAATTCCTTCAGTTGCTTTACTGCATGGATGATGTCCCAGTATTAACAAAATTCAACTCTAATTTTCAGTGAGACACATTTATGTAACAACGTTATACAACTTGATGTTTAAGATAGACAGCTTAGGCATTTCTTTGCTATGGTTCACATGACATGAGTGACTGATTATCTAGGTTCTGCACTACAAAAAACAAAGCTTGCATGCCATTGTAAAAATCATTGCCTTGCTGTACTGGAACACAAATCTCAAGAGACAGCTCCTACATCATAATGTTAGCAGACAAATATACAGATGAAAGTAAAATACAAGTTTCAATTTTCTTGTTAGTTTAAAATAATTCTCCATGCAGGAACACACAATACACTTATACATCATGGGGATGTGCAGAACTCACATGAAGGATTCCACGTCAACTTAAAAAAAAAACTACTGTTTGATGTTGCTTTTAAAATATGTCACATAAAATGACACAATTCTCAACAGAAGTCATGTCCTTCCAGTAACAGATATTCATTTATCAATAGCTAGAAAAATCCGAGTTCAGGAAAACTTAAGGAAAACATCTCTCTGCACTTGAGTAAAGCATTGTTACTACACAAGGATCAAATCTGAAAAAATAATAAATTCAAGACATGAAAGTGTCATCTATGACAGATTAATTAAAATGGACCAGTAACCTCCATTTGCTCTGGAACCTGAAGAAACTAAGCCTATGTATACCATCAACCTCAACTCCAGGAGCAGCTTTTTAGGGATTGGCAAACATCCTGTCACGTTATCCCCTTGAACAAGCCAAAACCAAAGCTTTCTTTTTCCCCTCCAAAACAACCATAATGATTCACGCATGTCTAGTACAATGATATAAGGTGCTGTAAAGAAGGAAGGATATTAATGCTATTAAGACCTAGATGGCAATAAATCATGGCTCCCCAGGTTTGAAAAAGCAGCATAACTCTGGCTGGAGTTATGATGTAGTTCTATAAACTTACAGAAGCTAGAAAATGGAAATAAAGAACTTCTGTTTCTCCAGCTGTAAGAACAACGTAGCATCCAAATCAGGGTGAATGTGTGAAAAAAAAAAAAAAAGGAAGAGGAAATACTTGTGCTCCCCACCCTCCCAACTGCCACAGAAAGTTGTCGCAGCCAAGCATATAAATAGTTTTCAGAAAGCCATCAATGTGGCTTTGCATAATTCTATAATTCTCTCACCACCATACTCAGTACACTGCCCAGCACTTGTGCTTGTTAAGTAACCTTCACCTTCACTATTCACTTCAATAGTGTCATACACGCTTATGCATGGGTGACATTTTATAAGATATCAAGCACATCTATTTGACACCTCCTATTTGACCTGAAAAAAAAACAAGTTTAGACAGAAAAATTCAAACCATACATTGGCAACGTATTCTACAATTCTATTTTATGGCAATAAAGGATGTACTCAACATATTAAGTAACCTAATCTTACTTGGTAAAATATTCTAAAGCTTAAAAATTCCATTTACATCAGTGAAGCTTCCTTGTATGATTTCAGAAATCAACCCATTTTTCATTCATATTCACAAAAGCAAGAAGTATGTGACAGATAGAGCGATGATGAATCGAGTAGGTTTTACCTAGCTGTTTTTCTCGTTCTTCTCTCCGTTCTCTAGCAAGCCGTTGCCTGTCATCAACCCTTAGTATTGTTGGATGATCTGCAAATCCAGGGAAGGGGAAAAATATTAGGCTTATAGCATAAAATCAAACAGTATCATAAACAAGCTTTAGGGGATTAACCAAACAACTGTAGTTATTTCAAGATAGATCACTTTTCCAGAAATCCATCTTATGAAAAAAAAAAAAAAAAGAATTAAAACTATATGAATGCATTTTAATTATCAAGATGTAAAACCGTCCCAAAGAATGGACTAAGTTGTAACTCTGAATTCCAAGCAAGACGACTGCCTGTGAAAACCCAGAAAGAAGTTTTGTTTTGTTTCCAAGCCTATAACAACTTCATTGCTTGAGAGCATTCTGACAAGATACCATCTATTATTTCATAATCGCTCTCCAAAATGCATCCACAGGAAATTCTATTATAATGCAGCACCCTCTTCCCACCAGCATTGCCTCAAAAAAACCAATAAACCCTATTTCATGAGACTGAAGAAGCTCAGTAGCCAAGCAAAATGGGTTGGATCAAAACACTGTAGCAGTTCTGGTTGAACTGCTGAAAATAGTGTGATATCCTCCACAGATGTTTTGTGTACATGTGTTAAAATCTCTGGTAAACTCTTTAAGACAGTGCATCACACGCATGGACTGGTATAATACCAGTAAAGTAAGATGATAGTTTCCTCAACTATCCTTGTAGATTGAAAAGTTAGCCACACGATTTCTGTAAAAATAACTGCAACTGGCCACTTGGATCACAGCAATAAGACTAAGGATAATATGAAAAATCTGTGTCTGAGGCCAGGCTTGACTATAAAAATTCAGGCTTCCTTGGAAAAACATCACTTGCTCAGTGAGTTCTCTAGAAGACAACAAAATGCTAAACAGCTGCCATCCTACTTCCAGCCTCAGCAGTGGAGCTGTTCCAGACAAAAAAGGAACAAAATTCAACTTACCAATTCATCTCAGCATGCTGCCAAAACTAATTTCCTACTCATCTTTAGCCTCTTCTGTTAAACCTGGAAAGCTGTTAAATTTATACTTTTTTCACTAGCACTGAAAAAGTCTGCTTTGAATAAAAACACATGTAAACAAAAAATCCCACAGAAAAAATAAAAAAGATTTCTGGGTATAAAAAAATGGTCTGATTTATTTTAGTATTGAGGGGAACTCAGTTTTAAAGTATTTTAAGATAAAGAACTACCTAGGATACTATCACCATGGAAGTGCACGTAAAAACAAGCCAACAGATCCTTTTCACTATTTGGTGCAAATACACAACTAAGCAGTTTGTAAAAACATGTAAAGTCAGCCTATTTATGTATAGATTGCACACCTATCAAAAAAGTTACTAGCAAGACAATACAATGGGTCATAAAAATGCAGTTAAAGATATTTGCAAAAGTAAATCCTGAAGTAATGATGTGCCTGACAGATACTGAATAGTTACTCAATTAGAGGACAAATCAGTAATGTGCATTTCATACTCACAGAAGTTTCTGCATCAGCATAACAAGATTTCTTGGATGAACAAGTTCACCAATGACTCATTTCACTTTAAGTATTCTTGAACTCTCATCACTGAAAGACTGTTATCTCAATAACGGTCAGAAACTACAGCCTTAATTAATGGCATTAATAGTGATGCAAAGTAAGAGCTGCAAGCAGAAAACCCATTACGTAGTTGGTGGGAAGAACTTTCAAACACGATAGCCCCAATGAAAGGTGTAACAAGTGAACAAGTCACCAGCAAAGTCAAAGGTAATTCATCACCCAGTTACCGATCAAAACGTTAATGTTAGTTAAACAGCACACAGTGCTGCCATTTGGTAAACTATGCCTAGCCGTGCCGTAGCATAGATTGGTCCAGTGTTTGGTGCAGATTAACATTTGGCTGACGTTAAGAAGTGCGCTGACTTGCATGCAGTCTCTTCAGCATGCAGACACAGGTTAAAAGGGTAATAATATTCCTTTTCTCTTGTGGCTGGCACACAAAATTCACAAAACATGAATTTCTGTAGCATGAGTAATTACTGATAGTGGAATAATACACATCCAATATTAATTCCCCTGGAAAACAAGGATTCCCTTCAAGTGCTCTCAGCAAAGTCAGTGTAACATCGACTTGACAGAGAATGATGAGACACTGGGGAATAACGTAAAACCCTGCTTCTTTCAGAATATACTATTCTCCTTCCATTGTTTTTTTCTTCCTTTCTTGAGAGGAGAGATTCCCCTATCTGGGAGAAGCAGCAATTCTTCAAAGAGGCAGGAGGGTTACACGGACAGACAAGCTGAAAAGGTCTCCCATAAGAATTCCTAATTATAAGCAATGGAAGGAATAAAATAAATTTTTAAACCTGCCCTCTGACATTCTGTTTGAAGATAACCAATTATTTTTTCTATATCACACACCTGATGGCATTAAGATGTGCACACCCACAGAGCCCCCCTCCCAGCACCCCAGGATGTTAGAACAATCCTAAAGAATTCACATTAAGTTGCAGGCTATGCAGAGTGTAAGTATGTCTTCAGTAACAAGCTATTTTGTGTACATTTGGAATCACAAAGAGCTAAATCAATATTGTCACAAAGATGAGGATAACACCTTTGTAGCAAACCAGCATTGCCTTCGCTCTGCTAGGAGCTGGAGCATATATTACTGGTGAAAATCTTACACTATTAACTAAAACGTCTCTTCTAAGTCTTGAAAATGATCCTTTCATAGTTAGGCTACAAGCCCAAACTCCAACAACTGGGTTCTGAATCCAGCTGATCTCCTGGACACACCCAGTACACAGCTCCAACAGCTTCAAATTCTGGCAAAGCAAGAAAGTTCACTGGGTCTGCTCCCCATTTTACTTCTCATGTCTCTGCTCGTCAACAACCCGCCGGGCAAATACCTGGGGGCCTGGCATTTCTTCCTATTCAGTATGAATACTAGGACAAACACACAAGGTACGTTGTCTTCTCGAAGCTTTTGCCTGATGACAAATGTATGCAAGCTGCTGCGCGAGGAGATGGGAAATGTCATTTGCAACAAATCCTGCAAGAACTCCTCAATTCTTACAGAAATAATTGATAATTGGGCATATGCAGAGCCTTACAGAGAACACTCCAGGAAGACCCATGTGCTGCTGTAGAAGTTGCAGTCTGGTTATGATGCAATGTGTGTGAACTCCCTCTCAGCAACCTATTTCACTACACTTATATAATGTATAAATGCTTAATATTATGTCTCAGAGGGACATTTGGAGATTAAATAAACCATAGTTTTGTAAAGGGGAAATTAATTTTGTACCTATTGCTGGAAATTAAGCCTCTAAAATACATATGATAGCAGTACTTTTCCATAAACTTACAACACTTACTGGGAGTTTAAAGTTATTTTAAAGAATTTACTAGGTTGTTTAAAAGAGCTTAGAAGCCATGAACAGTATTTTGCAGAAATTCAGCACAGAAACGTCAGTCATTTTTATGGCAGTTAATTACATTAACAAAAGCAAAATGCAAGCTTTTCAAATCTATATAATTAATACTCACTAAATTCTTAAGCACAGTTGACATATGTCAAAATTAGGTTGTAATTTTGCTAAATTAGTAATTGTCATACATACTTACTACATATGGCCAGTTTTTGTGGCTCAGGTAACTATCAGCTGCACCTAATGTGACTTCAAAAGTCAGACTACTACTATTCTTCATTTCCATCTATAATCTTCTCAATCTCACGTCACAAATGGCTGCTTCCCCTCTGCCCTTGACTCCTAGGATGCTAATTTATTACACTAAAGAAACCAGAAGGAATATCAAGTGGAAAAAAAACAGCCAGTGTGTATGTTAGTTCACAAGGCTGCTTCAGAAATAGAGAAAGTGCTTGGATCTCAAACTCTCCTCCCCTTATCTAGCTCCCTCCGCACTGCCATGCACCTGTTCAGAGTTGCCTTGGACTCCTAGTATTTGTTCAGCCTGTAGACACCTTCCAGACAATAACGACATCATTCATAGTGATAGCTTTCACTCTTGCTGCAAACTCTTTGGTTTGTTTTTTTTGACCAAAACAGTTTGACACAAAAGTTATGTGCAGTCTAAAGAAAACAACAGCCACCGCAAAACAAGCAAAAAACAAACCACCAGCTCTCAGGAACTCTCTCCAACATGGATTCTCACCAGCTGGGCACAGAGCTAAATCCTGCACACGTGCCTGTGCATTCCCTCTCTCCAGTCCCAGGAAATTTTGTGTTCCTCTCTACACACCAGCATAGATGAAGGTAACATTGGAGCAGCTACAACTCCCTCCTGAGAAATGAAAACTGAGGTTGACCTGCTGCAGGATAAAGTGGATACTGAATCCTGTCTGAGGTCAAGTTCTGGTTTTGCCATGGAAGCGGGTAATGTTATCTCCATTCTCTCTTCTTTTCCCCATTGCCCTTCTGATTGAGAGCAGCCACGAATGCTGTGCTCCATGCCGGTCCCAGTGCTGTCTGGCAGAGCATGTGAGGTTCCATCTGAACACAGACAGCACCAGGACTGCTTCCCTCTGGGGACATGGGCCAAAAGGTACCCAGTTTGGGTATAGAGAAGAGTCTGTCAGTGCAAAACAGCCAGTGAGCTGCCAAATCATCAGGGAGTTGGAAAGGGGGTGCTTAAGGTATGTGTAGTCCTCAGCAACACAAGCACCTGTGCTTTCTCAGGCATCTGAACAAGATCGCTATTAACTGCACGTTTTAAGCTTGGGTACCTGAACTGCAGTACACGCAGAATTTCAGTACTTAAGTGCTCTTCTGGACCTTAGTCTAAGCCTGCAAGTGGAACAGACTCATGGCATCAGGACGACATTAAGCATTTTAGTACATAGGCTTTCAACCATGTAAGTGAACAGTGAATTAAATCCATACAGTGAACCAATCAGGTATGGTGAAGTAATGACAAACATCTGCCCACTGCATAGAGTATATTACAGAATATGACATGCTCTGTGATAAGTGAAGAAATATCTGAACAGAAGCATATTTATATAAAGCTGTAAATCTTTGCCTACAGCAGGTAATTCTCATGCAAGCACAGATGCAAGTATAGTGGCTTTTGTTGACTTATCTCACTTCCCAACTCTCATTCCTAAACCGTACTAAAAGTAGATTGCTTTCAGTTTTGCTTCTTTGCAAACAATCAGATTCCAACCTAACTAAACAGTTACTGATACCATTTTTGACTGAAACAGTAGGAGAGGTATAAGAGCATCAAACATTTTAAAAGTTCCTAAGATGACAGCTGTTTTTCATACACCACTTAGGCAAACTGTCTTATAACATAAAGCATGTGGAATGGTATACCTGGTTTAGTTCCCGTGTTGCTTTGTCCTGAATTGACTTTCTTGTCTTGTATTTTAGAACCTTCAGCTGATAAAATAAGGAAGAAAAGGAAAGAGATTAATTAGCCATATTACTAAGCAGCTCAACCACTATTATAATGCAACTTTGACATTGCCACATTCCCTTTAAAACCAGACGGTTCTGAAATACCACTTTAATACCATTCTACACCATTTTGCTTCGATAAACCCCTGAAGGTTACACAGAAGACACTGAAGCCACAATACAAGTTCCCCATTCAAGTTAAGGAAGAAGCCACAAAAAAATTCAATTTTAACAAGGTTGTTTTAAACCAGGTGTATGATTTTTTTTTTTTTTTCTGATGCTGTGCTAATGCTATACATGCAGCTAGTTTCTCCTCCTCCCTCTCAGTGATGCTTTGGAAACCACTACTTCCAAAGAACAGCAGCCTTTAATTTTTTTTTTTTTTTTTTTTAATTTAATTTCCCTTGGAGGAAGCTGGATTAATCACACTGATAAAAGCAAATTAGTGGGAGTAACAGAATGAAACTGCTGAGCGACGTTAAAGTACCAAACATTCAAACATGTTGCGACGTTTGGATGCAATTAGGAAACTGTGTTGCTAAAGGTGACTTGCAGATCCTAGGTTTCTAAATGGATGGTACAAGATACTAGTAAAAACTTCAGAGACTCTTTACAAATTACTAACACACCCATTGTGCAGAACTAAGAGAGGACAATTTATGACCTGAATGAAATCTAACAGAGGAGATACTCCCATTATTTTTGAGACTTTTGATCAGGCCCTGTCAGTCTACAAAGAGATAATTCTGGGGCTCTGAATACCCTTCCAACAATCCTTTATAAAGAAAAATCAAAATATTAATTATTATATTTGAAATCACAACCATATCCTTGGCTCAGCATCTATTTATAATTAAAAGCCAAGCCAGGAAATTAGACGCCATGACTTTCTCAGCTTACTACTCATCTTTGTGTCCAGCAGCTCTGCTATAGGAGTGTTTGAGTCCAGAACACAGCAATCTGGGAAGAGCCTAAAGACAGGCTATAAGAATTCTAAGAACCCTTCCACAAATAGCTTGAAAGTATTTGCAGGTGAGGATAAAGAGACAGTTATATCAATAAAGCTTAGGGAAGGGAAAAAAACCCTCCAATTCATTTTAATTAAAATATCACTAGAAATTAAAGTTGGAAAAAATTGATTACTGCAATTTTAAAAGCTAAACAGGCATTACTGTATTACATCCACTTTAGAAAACATAATTTTAGAAGCTTTTTTTCAGAAGGCTCCAAGCAATTTCCTGTGCTTGTCAGCTTTAAGAATGTACGCTCAGGCCTTCAGTATCTCAGCAAATTCATTCCCTTCATGGCATGACCTCCCCTTTAACTCCTCCCAGAGGCATGTTTCAGGATGAACATAAAGGATAAAAGGTAACAAGAGGAACCTACGTGACACTTCTTTGCAGAGGGGAGGCAGGTGAGGGAATCAGAAAAATAATGTTGATCAAATGTTTAGTATTCAAGAACAATGTTTTGCTGAGAGCAACGATTAAAAATCACATCATCTCACCAAAAAAAAAATGTGTGAAATTTTAAATAACTATAAGAAGACAACTCCCCTGACAACTCCATTAAGTCTCTTAAGATCAACAGAAGTAACTACTGTTGAACTTAACAAATATTGATTCCAAATCATAATTAGAATTGTCACACCTTAAAGGCAGCCCAACAAAAGATTTTAGAATTTTGCCTTTTTAAAGGCCTCGTACAAAGGATTAGTTTGACCTGCAGGTAGATGGACCAATTTTTGGCAAGATAATCTAAGCACCACTCAAACACTTGCACCTCCAGGCTTTGTGGGATCTACCATTGTCAAAACCCATACTTTTTCCTCTCAGTGTTAAAAATGGGTGGTACTAAACCAAAACTAAAAAGTGTTTTATTCACCAAAATAAGTACATTTAAACTTTTTGTATCTTAGAAACTCTTTGTATCTTACTACCACCTTAACTTTGGTGGGGGAGGTAAAACAGACTTTCATCCTGCCTGAATTAGCCATTTAGAACATTCTCAGGAAAAGTCCTGCTATAATGCATGGGGAACCTACATCATGATTCCCACCAGCCTTGCCTAGGGCATCATATAGAAGAGGAAACTGATATAAAATAGTAAAAATATTGTTTCTGAGCATTAGTAAGAGTACTGAAGTTCTAATAGCTTCAGCACAAGTTTCTTCACATCTCATACAGTGCACACACATTACTCAGGCACTGCACCATGGGAGCATGCAATACTCCATGAACTTCAAAACAACGGTTTAAATGCCATCCAGATAACACTCTTGTAACAGAGCCTAGGTACGCAGAGTAATATTTTTTGCCATATTTGCTCTTGTCTGACATTTCCTTGGAATATTCTGTGACACAGTTTGAGTACACATTCATATGACCACTCATATGACAAGCAATGAAGAAAAGAACAGATGGGACAACCATGAATTTTAATGTGGCTGGATATCAAATAAGAATTGGCACAAGTACTTAGTAAGTAGTGTAGGTGTGCTCCCACATAAAATACCTCTTGCTCTGAGATACAAACAGATTAATCGGACAACCAAATATCTGAAATCCAAACCTAAATATTGGCAACACTGGTTCCAGCAAAACTCAGTAACTTAACACGTCAGGAAAGACACCATTCAACTACCTAATACTAGCCTGCTGCTTAGCTTGAACCACTACCTTTACATGGAGGGAATAAAAGTTGCATAAAGAAGTGTTAGAAATAAGAGGATATTTTCTTCTCCTCTAGTGTTAGTTACACAGGCCTGCATGAAATGCCTAACTGCAAGTATGTAAATTTAACTAAGCAGTAAAAGCCCAGACATACTAAAATAGCCCATCTGTCAGATGATTTTAAGATATGTGCCACCAATAATTGCTTAAAAGGATAGAACAGTATAGAACTTCAATTTTAAGGCAGCTTTTGGGGATTAAAATGCAAGTGTGAAACAAATACTGTGAACAATATGTTCCTCTGGCAATACAAGTTAAATACCTGAGTTAAAATGGATTTGTGTGTTGCCTAAATACCAAAGTATATACTTGATATCAAGTACCTAACTGAATCACAGAAAACAACCGAAATAATCCAAACTAAGTTGCTATAGCTTCATTTTATAATAATATAGAAAGAAACGTCACATGAAATTTTATTACATTAGGTCATATACTTCTGAATTTAGAAGTTACACCTGCAAAATAAACTGGAAGACAACATCACTAAAGCAACATAAAATATTCAGCTGCCATCCTGATATGTGCTCTATATTATTGTATTTTGGTCTTTTAAGGATGTAGCATGGTCTATAATAAGACCCTGAGGGGGGATCAAAAGATACTTAGCTCTTCTCTCTCAGCTCTGCCATCATTATATGGCATAGTATGAAATGGAAAACTAGACCCCAGTTGCTCTATCTGGAAGTGGGGGGGGGGGGGGGGGGGGGGAAGAGATGTACTGCTACTAAATACATATGCATTTGTAAACACTGAGCTCTGAAGTAAAACTAGTTGCAGCACAGAATTCAGTATTTAAACGTTCTGGAGGCAGAGCTGAAAGGGATGCGTAAGGCTGACCAGTGCTAGGGAGGAACTCTGTAGGTTCAGCTTTTAGTTTTGCTTTGAACCAAGGCAAGTGCAAAACTGGCAGGTTACTCCTAAAAAAGCATCTCTGTGATGGAAATTAATTCTATTTACAAATCTATGATCAATTCCGATATGTCTATGTGTTCACATTCAGACAGGTTTAATCAATGCTTCTGTCACCAAGGTGAATACAAGCTATAGAAGGACTGATAAGCAATTTACCTAATTTCTCATACAGCCATTATAATTACACTCAGTCACTTCCCAAAGCAGCTAAGATTCCTCATCCCAAGTACCTGTATCAAGGCCTACTTTCTAAAAGGGAAACAAAAAAACATTTTATAACAGTATGGTGGACTGTTCCATGATCAGTATCTGTCAGATAGACTGTAAGTTTATTAAAGGCATTTTTTGTAAGGTATTCTTCTTGAAGTAAAGAAATGAGCTATCCTCAGCTTCTCTAAAGGTCTGCATGAGCAAAAATAGGAATTACTAGCAGTGGGAGGCAAAACAAGTGCAAAGAGAAATTGTATCTTGAAAGACGCAAAGCTGAGCAAAAGTCTCATAGGAAACCTTGAAAAAGGAGGAAAACTATAAGTTTTCAGTGCTTCTTTACCTGCCAGGTAAACTATGGTCAAAGGAGACTGGCCTGAGAGACTAAGCAAGACAGCACATCCAATGGGAAAAGCCTGACTGAGATGTAGTGCCCCTGAGAGGGTGCCCTGGGAATCAGGAAGAACATTCACCCAGACCCTGGAAAAACCACAAAATGCCAAGGAAACACTGAGCTGGGAAGTCTCACACCAGCATTTTAACAGGCTTTTTTTAAAAAGCACAAGATCCTTGCAGATTACAAGCATCTGCTTTTCAGAGCATGGCAAATCAAGTGCACGTTTGCACAACATGAACCAGCTATCCCAAGTGAGGTGAACGGCAAACCAGAGCCCCCACAGCAAGGCTGGAGTCCTGGAAAGATGATGTTAAAGCTCTGTTTAATCAAGGAAGGACATCAGGCACAGGACAGAGGCAACTGTACTACCAGATCTCCACTGTGAGATATTTAATCAACAGATGCAACACAGTGGGGAAGGAGCACTGGGGGATCACAAGCAAAAGATGGTGCTTAGACCCGTGTTAGGGTCAGGATGTGCACAGCACCCAGCAGAGAACTGCACGTGAGTAAATGTCTGAAAAGGGGAACTGTATGAGGGCTGCACAGCCGTGGGTGGAGCAGAAGTACAGGTTAAGCCCGAGACATGCAAACAGCTACGTGTGCCTGATGGTTCAGATACGCCTCTGGGTAAAGGGTACACTGAGCAGCAAAGAGGAGATACCACCTTCCAGTTTCTTGCTCTAATTCCACAAGTGAGGGACAGAAGTATTGAAAAACAGCCAGGAGAA